TCTTATCTGTTTTTGTACCAGCACCGTACTGTTTTTATTGCTATAGCTCTGTAGTATAGTTTGAAGTTGGATATTGTGATACTTCCAGCATCGCTCTTTTTGCTCAGTATTGCCTTGGCTATTCGTGGGTCTTTTGTGTTTCCAAGTGAACTTTAGGGTAGATTTTTCAATCTCTGTGATGAATGTCATTGGGATTTTGATTGGAATTGCATTGAACATGTAGATAGCTTTTGGGAGTATAGACATTTTTACTATGTTGATTCTGCCAATCCATGAGCATGGGAGATCTCTCCACCTACTGTAGTCTTCTTTGATCTCTTTAGTGATTTGTAGTTCTCCTTGTACAGGTCATTTACATCCTTTGTTAAGTTTATTCCTAGGTATTTGATTTTTTTTGAGTTTATTGTAAATGGAATTGTTTTCTTATATTCTTTCTCACTTTGTTCACTGTTGGTGTATAGAAAAGCTACTGATTTTTGTAAGTTGGTTTTGTATCCTGCTACATTGCTGAAGCTGTTTATGGTGTCCAGGAGTTTTTGGGTGGAATTTTTTAGGTCTTCGAGGAATAGGATCATGTCAACTGCAAATAGGAATACTATTTCTTTACCTATTTGTATTCCTTTTATTTCTTTTTGCCTTATTGCTCTGGCTAGGAATTCCAGGACTATGTTGAATAGGGGTGAGGAGAGTGGATATCCTTGTCTCATTCCTGACTTTAGGGGAAATAGTTTCAGTTTTTCCCCATTAAGTATGATGTTGTCTTAGGTTTGTCATATATAGCCTTTATAATGTTGAGGTACTTTCCTTCTATTCCTAGTTTTCTTAGAGCTTTTATCATGAAACTGTCCCACTACCACTGTGTTGGAGTCTATATGTGCTTTTAAATCCTTTAGTGTATGTTTGATGAAACTGGGGACATATAGGTTGGTAATTGTCATTTCCTTTTGACGTATTGCCACTTTTATTAGTATGAAGTGTCCTTTATCTCATTTGACCAGTGTAAGTTTGAAGTCTACTTTATCTGATATAAGTATTGCTATTCCTGCCTATTTTGGAGGTCCATTGGCTTGGTAAGTCATCTTCCAGCCTTTCACCCTAAGCCAGTGTTTATTTCTGTCAGTATGATGGGTCTCTTGAAAACAACAGATTGTTAGATCCTTTTTAATCCAGCTTGCCAAATGGTGTATTTTGATGGGGGAATTAAGTCCATTAACATTCAGTGTTAATATTGATAATATTGATGTGGTGATTCCTGCCATTTATTTGTGTTTGTTAAGGATTTGATTGTGTGCAGCCGAATCAGTGTTACTCTCTGATTGCTTGTCTTTTTCTTCTCCTGTGGTTTGATGCTTCCCGGCCTCTCATGGTTGTTTGCTTTCATCTTCTGTGTGCAGAATTCCTTGTAGAATCTTCTGTAGTGGTGGCTTGGTGGTCATATATTGTTTTAGTTTCTGTTTATTGTGGAAGATGTTTATTGCTCTGTCAATTTTGAATGATAGTTTTGCTGGGTAGAGTATCGTAGGACTGAGATTATTTGCATTCAGTGCCTGAAATACCTCACTCCATGCCCTTCTTTTAAGGTTTCCGTTGAGAAATATGCTATTATTTTGATGGGCTTACCTTTATGTTATTTGTTTTCACTCTCTTACAGCTTTCAATATTCTTTCTCTGTTCTCTGTGCTTGTTGTTTTAATGATAATGTGCCATGGGGAGGTTCTATTTTGGTCAAGTCTGTTTGGTGTCCTGGAGGCTTCCTTTAATTTGAGTGGGCAAAACTTTCTCAAGATTTGGGAAATTTTGTTATTATTTTATTAAATATATTACGTATCCCTTTGGCTTGCACCTCTTCTCCTTCTTCAGTGCCCATGGTTCTCAGGTTTGGTCTTCTGATGGAATTGCTGAGTTCTTGCATATTCCTTTCACAGGTCTTGAGTTATTGGACTAAGATTTCGTCTGTTTGGTTTTTTTCTTTAATTTCTATTTTATCTTTCAACTCTGAGATTTTGTCTTCTACTTATGCTAGTCTGCTGGAGTGGCCTTCCACTGTGTTTTTTATTTGACTAAAGGGACTTTTTATTTCCAGGATTTTGATTCATTTTAATGAGGTTTTCCATATCTTTGTTCAACTCTTTTATATTTTGTGTTGTCATCTTTAATTCATATATCTTTTTATAGTGTCCTTTGTTTCACATTGGTGTTTGTTGAAGTCCTTTCTGAGTTCATTTGTTTCTGTTCTTAACTTTTGATGTCTTGAAATTTCCTGAGTGCACTTTATACATTCTGGTTAACCATGTTTAGTGTCTTCTCCATGAATTTCTCAGTGATTTCTTTCAAACTTTCTTCTTTGAGGGTTTTCCTGTCTCGAGTGTCACTGGACTCCTTAGTGGCATTTACCATTGTTTTGTTGGGGTCAAGAACTGGGTATCCATTTTCTTCATTTCCCACTGAATCCTGTATTGAATTTTTTTTTTTTTTGAGGAGCGTGGTTTCCACCCCTTCTTCTTCCCATAGCTCCAGTTGGTGCTGTGCAACTATGTTCTTGATAGGCTAGTTGGTAGTTTTAATTGCCTGTTTAATTTCCCTTGATCTAATTTTTGTGTTGTGACTGACTTTGTTGTTAGCTTGGTTGATGTGCTCTTTCTATCCCTGGCTTGGAGGAGTAATTTAGAAATATCAAACTCACAGGTTCAGTGCCAGACCAGTTGCTTACATATACAGAAAAGCACTTGGTGATAATATCTATAACAAGTAGGAGTTGGGGGGGGTAATGGTTATTAGGCTAGATATAGAAATTTGGGGAATTGGTAAAGGTGGCACTAAAAGCGGGGGTGGGTTAAGGGGTGGGGGGGTAAGCAGTAAAGGGGACTGCTGTGTTTTGTGGCCCTTGTGCATACTTGGGTGCATTTTTTGTTTTAGTGGAGTGTGCTTGTGTCAGGGATTGCAGGGGGCTGCTTTTGTGTATAGTTGGTACAGTAGATTAGTCAGGCATGAGCCATTGTGCCCAGCTTTTTAGACTGTTTTGCAGATAGGGTCTCCTGTTAACCTTTGTCAGGGCCAGTCTGCCTTCAGTCCTCCCACCTTTTCCTCCCAAGTACTTGGGATTACAAGCGTGCACCACTCCATCCAATGTGCTTAATATTTTTTAATGTCAGATGGCTGACCCAGGAACTCTGATCCTGCTTATTCAGATGTTTACAGTTCTCAATTTTGAAAGAGAGACTCTTAATATTTCTGAATTACAGACTTCATATATGCAAATGCTGGTTGCAGTACTCCTTCCTAAGGGCCTTCAATAACATGGTTTAGTAGCATGGTTCCAGTTGCTGTTGAGCTTACTATTCTCACAGATTCTTAAAAGATTCTGTACTCAGTGGATTTCTATTTCAAACATTAAAAAAGTATCTCCAGGAATCTATTTGGAATTTCCATACCTATATTTTCTATGAGATAAAAATTTAAGGACTCTTTTCATATGAAAAATATTTTTTGAGAATTCTATTGTGATTACTGTACTTTCACATTTCACTCACCTTTTTCCTTTCTCAACATCTCTTTTTCTTTTTGGCGGTACTGGTGTTTGAACTCAGGGTCTTATGCTTGCTAGGCAGGTGTTCTACCACTTGAGCCCAACATCCCTTTCTCTTGTATGAAATTCTTTGATCTTAGGGCTAAAGTACCCCTAAAATAATGACATCCATAGAATTTCCCTCCAGTAGGAATTCTTTGGTTAAGTGTAAGAGCTGAGCTAGGCACCACTGGCTCACATCTGTAATCCTACCTAGGCAGAGATGAGGATCGGGGTTTGAAGCCAGCCCAAGGGAAACAGTTCAAGAGACCCTATTTTGAAAAAAACCATCACAAAAAGGCTGGTAGAGTGGCTCAAGGTGAAGGCTCCAAGTTCAAACTCCAGTGTAAGAACTGAATTACAACTAGAGACCTTTCTACCTCTATTGCATTGTCCAGACAGAATAGCCTCTCACAATTATTGTAAGTTTTCTTTCCAGGGAGAACTTGCCAGTTTGAATAGCTGATAGTTCTCTACATTAATTTACATTCAGAGCTATTTCTCTCCAGAATGAATTATGTTGGGAATGTTCTGAGAGGCTTGAGAGTTTCCACGATAAACTGAAAAGACTTAAATCCCTGGACAGAGTAATTTCAGTGTTCAGTATAAAATCAACAGAAACACATATGCACACACTAAGAGACATAAATCAGAATATTTATAGCAATATTTTTATCATTAACACAAATTATAAAAAATACAAATATCCAACAATAGGATAAATAGCAGTATATTCTTAAAATGGAATAGTATACAATATGAAATGAATACACTACTGCCACATGCAATAATGTACAAATCTTTTAAGTGTTCAGTGAAACAAAGCAGGACAAAAGTGAATGATGTATGATTATATCAACGTGTATATATAATATACATATAATACAAAGTTTAAAAACATGCAAAACTATTTCATGATATTATAAGCCAAGAAACTGGGAATCACTGGCAAAGTTAACAACTACATTTTTTTTTTAACATAGAATGCTATGAGAATTAAAGAGTTCATAGCTTTTTTTTCTGAATGGAAATACTGAGAAATCATTTTGTAATTTGTCCTTGCATGAATTATGTAAGGGTTTTTAAATAAAGCATTTGAATCAGCAGGCAGCAGGAGCTGTTAGAATCTTTAAAAATTAGTTTCATAGCTGACAGTGCAGGAACAGTGATCAAACCCATTTCATATGCAAATAAACAACAAAGTGTTTTGGGGTTTTTTTTCCTTATTTTTTGGAGGTACTACGGTTTGAACTCAGGGCTTCATACTTGCTAGGCAGGTACTCTACTACTTGAGCCACACCTCTAGCTCCAACAGTAAATAACTGTATGGAACTTTAATTAACTATTGTTACATTTGTGATTACAATTACATGAGCACGTTTAAGCATGCTTTTCTACGGAAAGGGTTGTAATAACTTGGAAAGACTTCATTCATTTATTCCATTTCCATATTTTCTCCCTTATGAGTTTTTTGATGGACAATGAGGTTTCTCTTATAACTGAAGGACTTACCACACTCATTACAAACATAGGGTTTCTCACCTGTGTGAGTTCTTTGATGTACAATGAGGTTTGTTTTCTGGCGGAAGCACTTTCCACATTCATTACACTTATATGGTTTTTCTCCTGTATGAGTTCTTTGATGATGAATGAGATATGACTTCCTGCTAAATGCTTTCCCACACTGAGGACATTCGTAGGATTTCTGCCCTGTATGTATTTTCTGGTGTACAGTGAGGGTTGCTTTCTGGCGAAAGGACTTCCCACATTCATTACAAATGTAGGGTTTCTCTCCTGTATGAATTCTCTGGTGTAGGTTAAGATTTGTCTTTTGACTGAATGATTTCCCACATTCATTACATTCATATGGTTTTTCTCCTGTGTGAGTTCTGTGATGATCAATGAGGTATGACTTCATTCTAAAGGCCTTCCCACAGTGAGGGCATTCATAAGACTTCTCCCCTGTATGTGTTCTCTGATGTGCCACAAGTGTTGTCTTCTGGCGGAAGGATTTTCCACATTCATTACAAATATAGGGTTTCTCCTCATTATGAGTTTTCTCATGAAGAGCAAGAGTTGTCTTCTGAGAGAAGGATTTCCCACATTCATTACAAACATAGGGCTTCTCCCCTGTGTGAGTCCTTTGATGTACAGTAAGGTTTGCCTTCTGGTGAAAGGACTTCCCACATTCCTTACAAATATAAAGGTTTCTCCCCTGTATGAATTCTCTGATGGAGAGAGAGTGTTGTCTTTTGGCGGAAGGACTTCCCACAATCATTACATTCATATGGTTTCTCTCCCGTGTGAGTTCTCTGATGACGAATGAGGTGTGACTTCAATCTGAAGGCATTTCTGCACTGTGGGCATTCATATGACTTTTCCCCTGTGTGTGTTCTCTGATGGTCAGTGAGGGCTGTCTTTAGGCGGAAGGACTTACCACATTCATTACAGGCAAAGGGTTTCTCCCCTGTGTGAGTTCTCTGATGGTCAATGAGATATGATTTCCTTCTAAATGCATTTCCACACTGATGACACTGGTAGGGCTTTTCCTCTGTGTGAATTCCTTGATGCAGAATCAATACAGACTTCCTGCAGAAGGATTTCCCACATTCAGTGCATGTATGTTTTTTTTCAATGTTGGTTGCTCTTCTCTTTTTATTATATACAGATGGGCTTTCCCCTCTGTAAACTCTATTATGTGTGTTTAAGTCTCCCTTTTTAAGGAATGATTTCTCATAGTCATTATATCCAAATGACTGTGCTGTTGTCACCATCTTCTGATACTGCATAAGCACATCATTATGACTGAAGGCCCTGTCACTCTGACTATGGGATCTGACTTCTGGATGAACTGTTTCTTCTCTAGTAATAAGGAATGATTTCCCACATCCATTATACTCATTAAGTCTCTTTCTTGCAGGATTTAGATTACTGATGATGAATTCTGAAACATTTTCCAAAATGTTTCCACGAGTGTCATATGCTTTTGAATTAGTTGGTTTTCTCACTAGAATAAATGTCTTTTCATATACATTACTCTTCTCCTTTATCAGTTTTTTGTGGTTAATCCATACAACTGATCTAGAACTTTTATCTTGGTGTTCCTTTAATTTCATTAAAAAGTCTTCAGCTTTCCAGTTTTCTTCTAGAAAAGAATTAATAACAACCTGTGAACCTTCACATGCATTTGCTAGTGAAAGGAATTATACTAGAGTATATGGAGTCAAAAAAGACCCAGGAAAAATGACTCTCTGTCTGTACAACAAGAAACAAAAAGAAAAAAACCTCTGCTTTAGCATGAAAAGAAATAAAAATAAGCAATAAAGACTACTAATACCATAAACCATGCAGAACTTCATAGAGAAATAAAACAAACCAACAAGTTAAAGAATGGTGGAAGAGGGGACTGAGAATGGAAAAGCAGATTTGGAAACACTGAAACAAATCTATCCAGACATTAAACTGTAAGTGAAAATGGACCAAAATAATTGTAGAATTGTCTGTTCAGAGAAAATATTAGAGGAAGGATTACTTTTGCAGGATAGAAGTCCTCTTCTTTTATACAAAAATCTCCAGGTTACTGTGGCAGGGTACTGCCAGCTGATTCACACAGTTCCTTTTTCCATACAGCCATCACTGGCCAACTACCTTTTTAAGTAACACTTTCTAGAGAGTTTGATCCACAAAATAGATGGGAATCACTTTTTCATGTAATGGAAGAACTAGGCACATTTCTCTAATGGGAACTTTATATTCTTTTTAAAAATTTTTTTGGCAGTATTGGAGGGTGAACTAAAGGACCTTGCTTACTAGGTTAGATGCTCTACCACTTAAGATATGCCCCAAGCCCTGTTTTGCTTTATTTTTCAGACAGGGTCTTGTGTTTTTACCCAGGGCCCACCTCAGACCTCGGTCTGCCTACCAATGGCCTTCTGCATAGCTTGGATTAAAAGGTGTATACCACCACTGCCTGGCTTGTTTGTTGAGATGGTGTGTTGCTAACCACAATGCTCCCAACCTTTGCCTCCCCAGGTAGTTAGGATTACACTTGTGAGCCTCCCACCCCACCAAATAAGAGTATATTCAATTGCTATATTCAGACTGACACCTGCTAAATGGATTATTTTAGGATTGTTTAATAGCAAAATTCTTGTGACCATCAACTATATTCTTTTAAGAGACTAACATTTTTCAGTTTAAGGAAAAACTGGCTAAAGTCCTTCTTCAGTGCAGTATTTCTCCCTGCCAGTTTTTTTGTATGGTAAAACAGAAAGACCAAGCTGTTAAATCGAATGGAACAATGTAAAAGCTAGACTCAAAATTCTACTTCTTCCTTTAGTGTATTACTTGCAAAACTAACATATGTATATATAAGAATTTCTCCTGTAAACAAAACTTCCCATCACCTAGAGATTATATATATATTTTTATAGTAATGTAAGTTTTGAGAGTTAAATACAAATTTGACAAATCTTACCCATAGGAAGTAATTTTTGCCTAAGTTAGGCCTAGTATTTAATTGCCTTATAAATACTTTATGTTTTTTAATCACAAGCCCATGCTTCTTATTTCTACTCATATTTAGAGAATTTTCAAGGACTTTCTACTATTCTATGATCTTGAAAACGCTTCACATAGCTGGGCATGATGGTATATTCCTATAATCTCAGCACTTGGGAGGCAGTGTCAGGAGGATCAAGACTTCCAGGCCAGTCTGGACTACAGAGAGACCCTGCCTCAAGAAAACAATGGTGGGGATGTAGTTCAATGGTAGAGTGCTTGCCTAGCATGCACAAGGTCCTGGATTTTACTGCCAGGAGTACAACAACAAAAAACCCCTCTACATATTTCATATTTTTCCTCACCACTATAAGCTCTATTTCTTTAAAAACTAAACATAACTATGTCTAGAAAAAGTGATTTTAAAATATTTTGGTAATCTTGTGCTTGTCATAAATACTTCATGAAAGAATTCCCCCCCCGCCCCACTTTTTTTTCTTTTTTGTATTACTGGGGATTGAACCCAGGGCTTCATGCATGGTAGGCTAGCACTACTACCCTGAGCAATGCCCAGACCTTTTGTTTTTGTTTTTTATTTTCTGGCAGTACTGGGATTTGAACTCAGGGTCTCATACTTGCTAGGCAGGTGTTCTACTGCTTGAGCTATGTCTCCAGTCCATTTACTTTGTTTTTGAGATAGGGTTCTTGCTAACTTTGCTATAGCTGACCTCTAAACCGAGATCCTTCTGTCTCTGCTCCTGAGTACCTGGGATTATAGGCATGTACTACCATGCCCAGCCTAGTAATCCTTTCTTATCAAAAATAATGCTTTGTTATCTTTTTGAATGCTTCTCAGTTTACATTATTACTCTGTATTATAGATAGGTGATGTTTGGCAGAATCCAACCACTTCAATGAGAACATGTAGGAGGAGAATATGAGTAGGTATATCTGAAAGGACCTTTCTTATACTTACCTTTTTTCTTGGCGGGGGGGGGTACCTTTTTTTGAACTCAAAGCTTTGCACTTACAAAGCAGGTGCTCTACTGCTTGAGATACACTCTTAGTCCATTTTGTTCTGGTTATTTTTGAGATGGGGCCTTACGAACAATTTTTTCAGGCTGGCCTCAGCCCTCCCCATCTCAGCCCCGCAAGTGTGTAGGATTACAGGCATAAGCTAATGGTACCAGGCTGGGGGAAGAATCTTTAAGTATAAACCATATACAATCAGGCATCAAATTGCATGATCATATCCAAGAATTGTATGTGCATGTATATTACAGTCAGTAAGTAGCACAGGAATTTAGAAAAAGGGAAAGTAGATATGATGCAAAGTAATCAAGGAATAGTTCATGGAAAAGAAATATTAAGACTTAATAGAAATACATGAAAGAGAACACAACACAATGAGAAGTACCTATGTGATGACAAACCCTCCATTTATGGAGAAAATTTAGGAGACTGAATTAAGTGGAAATAACAAGGACTTCCGCAAGAGAAAGTTGAAGACTAGGTGAGGGCTGACAAAAGGGAATTTCAATTTCAACAAGTAATGGTGCATCTTGTTAGAAAAATAACAATATAAATCAAATTAATTAGGACAAAATTAACAACAAAGCCAAACTGCACTTACAGTAATGAAGAGATGAAGTAAAAATTTTTATTTTGTACAATGTCAGTAAGAAATGAAAATATACAAGAGGACAGGGATACAGCTTACCAGAAGAGTGCTTGCCTAGCAAGTGCAAGGCCCTAGGTTTAATCTGTGGCACCACAGCACACAAACACAACAGAGAATGTCAATATATTTCACAGGCTGATAAACATTAACTGTGAACAGATCCACAAGAAATGATGAGAGAGGCAGAAGACTCAGGCTGACATCATGTCAGAAATAAAATAATTTAGAAACAGAAAATGGGAAAGAGAAAATTAAAGACTTTCATTTCTGACATACTGTTATAAACAAAACAAGCAAGGGAGGGGACAGACCAAGTACTTCTAAGGGAACAGAGTAAAGGTGAGAGAAATGCCGAGAATGATAGTGTTAGAGCCTTTTACATAAACCAAGGGCTTAAAGTCCGAGAATGCACGGAGTTACAATAATTTAAAGGCATGCCCCTTGAAGTTAGAGAATCAGAACTAAGAGAACAGTGAACTGATGGACGGATGGATGGATGGATAGGTGAGTAGATAGATAGACAGAAATTATTTTTAAAATGTGTGACTATTTTGTGCCAGGCATTTTTAGGCAACATGGCCACTGGTGGTGTAGAAAAGAGACCAAGCTGTAAATAAGGACTCAAGGAATCAGATAAGAATGAGTTAGTATTATTTACCCAAATCCAGATTAGATTTCAGGAACAATAATCAGCTACATAAAATGAAGCGCAAAGACTAAATAGAAAAAATAGTAACTATGGAATTAGTTTGATCTGGGGCAAATGAGTTTTAAAGTCAACAGCAAGATTTAAAGTAAAAATGGGAACTTAGTGCAGAAAAAAAATTTGATGTATTACGAAGAAAAGGTAAAAAAAGAAAATAGTAATTGAGGAGAACATTAACTGAGAATTTCCCCTTTTTAAAGAACAGATGTTAAGAATGCCTGAAAGAAATCTACCACAATAGCAAGGAATGAAAATACCGAAAAAGAGACATTAATCAAGAAAAAAGATGTAAGCTGTACATTTTGTAAGCTGTGAAAGTATCTTTGGCAATGCCACACAAATTAAAAGAGACTATATGGGAGAGAGTGACTTCTTTAGAAGTCTGGGGCTTTTTGTTGGTTGAGTTTTTTTTTTTTTTTTGAGATGGGGATCGTCCTTTGTTGCCCAGGCTGGCCTCAAATCCTGGTGCCAAGTGATCCCTGGCCTCCTAAGTAGCTGGGACTATAGTCACATGCTACAGCTCCTGGCTCAGTTTTAAATTCTTTAGGTGCCTAGGTTAGAAACCTTTAAAAGTCACTCTTAAAACATTTCAACGGCACCACCGTCACACGATTCCTTTAAAATTACTTTCCACTAGATTTCACCTACCTAGAAGTCAGAAACTCACCTAAGCAGGCATGACCTGCAAGTGATGTCCATGGCTCTTCCCCTCGTTCCAATTTGAGGATCACATCAGGTTTGGTCATGTCACACCCTGATAAGGGAAAAACAGACTTAGGTTGGTTGGGCTTCAATACCTGAAAGATGAGTAAGGAGGGGATGTAGCATAGGTAGAGCACTTGCCTAGCATGTACGAGGCTCTGGGTCTCATCCCCAGCACTGCCAAAAAACATGTTTAAAAAAAAAAAAAAAGATGTATGTTTAGTAGTGCAAATTATGATTCTCATTTGTGAAAGAGTAAACTTAGCAGCATACAACCAAGCAAGTGAAGCCATTCATCCCTTCTGCTAACCAAAAGGAATTTATCACCTTTTATCCCTGAAATTCAAGATTACACCTATTTTAGGTGCTTTGAGAGGAAATGTATCATAGGAAGAATGTCAAAGGGTTTTTTGCCAGGTGTGGTGGGGCATGCTTATAAGCCTCACTATCAGGAGGCAGAGGCAGAAGGACTGAGAATTTAAGGCCAGCCTGGGAAAAGTTAGTGAGACCCTATCTCAAAAAAAAAAAAAGTAAACAAAAGGGGTAGGGGTGTGGTTCAGTGGTAGAGTGTCTGCCTAGCATGTGTGAGGTCCTTGGTTCAATTCCAAGTACTAAATAAAATAAATAAATAAATAAAGAGTTTTTCTTACCCACAGAGATGAAGTGACGATAATTTTCCAACATCACATCCATGTACAGAGTCTTCTGAGCAGGATCTAAGTGCTGCCACTCCTCTTGACTAAAGTCCACTGTCACATCCTTGAATGACACAGATCCCTATAAGGCAGGACTGGATTATGGTGAGAACAGGTTGTCTAGAACTACTCTCTTGACCCTGTTTCTTTGTAGCATTCATATGAAAATTTACAAAGAAAGACTGTTATTTTCTGATTCGTGACTTACATTGTAGGAGAAATAAAACTCAAGACAAATACCTTTCACTGAATTTTTTTAATGCATTCTAAACATATACTGTGAAGTCACTTTATATCCAAAACCTGTGGTTTACTGGGGCCAAAACAAAGCACTGTTTTTTGATTTTTAAGTGTTCAGTTATTAAAAGTTTTAATTAAAATTGTACTAAGATTTTATTGTAAATGATATCCATCAAAAGTATATTACACTACATATTACATATAGCATGAACACATATATGAATGTACATAAGAATATTTTTTAAAGAAGAAAGCAAATGCACCTGTCCCCTGCACCCAATTAAGAAATAGAAAATGGCCAATATTTAGGAATCTGCAAGCATGCCCTCTAGTGACAAGCCCATTCTCTTTATTGAGTTTAATTCTGATCACTGTCTTGTCTTTCTTTATAATTTTACTTTGTATGCAGGCACACCTAAGAATATATTGTCTAATATAGTCTAATATTTCTTGCATGTTATATTAAAGGAATCATTCTATATGGTTTTTCCATGACTTGCTCCTTTTACTAAACATTATGATTTTAATGTTGATACAAGCTAATATGCCTACATTTAACTAGTATTACTCCTGTGTACTACTCCAGTGAGTATCTCACAATAATATATATTCTCTATATATCTACTACACTGCGAATGGACATTTGCATTATTTTCATTTTTATTGTTATGAACAATGCTTCTTTTTAAAAACTCTTTATTTTTCTCACAGTACTGGGGTTGGAACTCAGGTCCTTGTTATTGCTAGCCAAGTGTTCTACTACTTGAGCCATACCCAAACCAACAATGCTTCTTTTACAGGTTTCCCTGTGTCGTGGGTGAACTTCCCTGGAGTACCCTCAAGGCCTGGTGTTGCTAGAATTTAGGATGTGCTTATTCTACCTCATAATGTAATGTCAACTTGTTTTCCAAAATAAAGCAACTAGAAAAAAATGTACACAGCATATATGAAAAAATAATGCATTAGAAAAATTTAAAGAAGATCTAAATAATTTTGGAATTATGACATGCATATGAATAGAAAATATTTTTAATATTTTTAAAATGTTAGTTCTTCTGAAATTAACTATATGTTTCATGTTATCCCAAAATCGAAAGTTACAATCTGATTCTGAAGTTTACCCAGAAATGCAAAGGGTGAAGAACAGTCAGAGTAATATTGAAGAAGAAAAAAGATAAAGCAACCTGGTCAAACAAATATGATAATTAAAATAATGTGGCATATAATGTGCAAGAACAGATTACATAGTAAAAGAACAAAACACAGAGCCCAGCAGTGGACCGTTCCCTAGAAGGAAGTGGCATAGATGGAGATGACAGGGCAGATCGCTGGAGAAGGGATAAACTCCTAAAATAAATGGCTTTCTGAGTAGTGTTGAGTAGATGAGGAAAAACAAAACAGATCTCTGTCAAACCACTGTTCTTGAAAGAAGTTAATAACCTCTGAGGAACGTAACACATTAAAGAATGCTTAAACACATAACTGCAAGCTGTTATAGGTAGAAAACAGAATTAGATATAAGATACAGTGTATCACAAAGACAGAACAACTTCTCAGGCTTCACAAAAGAGGTAAAATTTCTACCCTTCAAAATGAATGTGTGTGGTGGTATATGCCTTTCATCCCAGCACTTGAGAGGCACAGACAGAAGGATCACAAGTTCAAGGCCAGCCTGGGCTACATAGTGAGAACCTAACTCAAAAAACCAAGGGCTGGGAATGTGGCTCAGTGGTAGAGTAGTTGCCCAGCATGTGCAAGGCCCTGGCATCAATTCCATACACTGCCAAATACCCCCAAAACAAAGATTTTATGTCGGACAAAAATGCTTCTAAGATGCATGGTGACATTTTCAGCATCCAGCAACAAGAGTGAATTGCTCAGGAAAACACTCAGATAACAGTTACAAAATGCAGACATAATATATAATAAAGAACTAAAGAAAACCACAGCTTACTTCCTCAAAGGCGACAAAGGACAGAATTTAGGGCTGGCAGATGAACTGGAAACAGGTTAATTTTGATAGTGAGGAAATTACAAAAGAGACTCAACATCTGAGTATAAACTGCCAAATTCCCTGATTGATAAACTATCCATGGATTAGAGAAATTATAGAGATCTTACCTAAAAGCAGACATGAAGAAATCAGAAGTCTTGGAAAATGGAGCGTACCTAGTGAGATTCTAAGACTTCTGCTTTATGGACGGTAGTTCTACAACCTGATCGCAGATCAAGCAGCAGAAAATTGAAGCTTTACTGGTTTAGGTGTGAGCTTAGAAACAGGAAATGTAGGGATGAAACCCGGAAACAAGAAGTCTACAGAAAGTGAGCCCCTAAATCTTAAGTACAAACACCAACAGCTTGATTGAAAGTTAAAGTGTATGAAGATAAAGGAGAACATACTTGCCCTCAGGAAGTCAGTAAGAAAAGCAGTAGCTGAACAACCAAGAGGCCTTATCAGCTGCTGTACACTGAAGAGGACACAGTTGCAGATATGAGTCTAAGCAGGTCAGCTGTCTTCTAGAAAACACCCAATAGTCCTCAGAAGAACATCAATGGACATAACAGGATTCAGATCACTATCTTATTCATCATGTCCATCTCTGCAGCAATAATTACTAGACATGTAAACAAAACACAAAGAGTTGGGAGAATATGACCCATATTCACTAATTTCTAGTGGGACCTCTGTTGGTAATACAAAGGTTTCGGGCAGAGCAAGGGCTGGCAAACTTTTTCTGCAAAAGGCCAGACAGTAAATATTTTAGGCTTTTCTGGGCCAAATGGTCTCTTTCACAATGATTACAGTTGTAGGGTGAGGGCAGCCATAGACAGCATGTAAATGAGTATGACTATGGTTCAATACTTACAAAACAGGCACAGGCTAGGTTTGGCCCCCAGGTTATAAATTGCTGACCTTAGTAATGGGACTAAATTAGCCCTAGACCAAAAGCTAGATATATCCTAACAAAAGCTTAAAAGCAAGCCTCGAAAGTATCAAAATGATCTGAAGTAACTTAATTCTTTCAAGGAACATAAAATCTAGCATGCAATAATTTTAAATTCAAGGCAGAAATGTCTAAGCATGCAAAGGAGTAGATAAACAGGACCTGTATTCAAAAGGGAGAAACAAAAATTAAAAGAAACAGACCTAGGAACAATAGAGGTGATGGATTTAGCAAGCAAAAATGTTAAATCAGGTATTATAAATATGCTCCAAGAATGTAGAAGAAAGGAAGAACATGATGAGAGAAATCGAAGACAAAAAAGGCCAAAAGAGCCGGTGCGATGGCTCACACTGATGATTCTAGCTGCTCCAGAGGTGAAGACTGGTTGGAGGCCAGCCAGGCAAACAGTTCGTGAGACCCCATCTCCAAAACAACCAGAGCAAAATGGACTGGAGGCTTGGCTCAAGAAGTAGAGTGTCTGCTTTGCATGTGGCCTCACCTGAGGTATGAAACACTATAAACTGTCTTGGCACACTACACTCCTTTGTGTAGCTGCCCACTATTCTAGTCCCTTTTAATAGTATCCTAATAAATATCTGCTTTTTTTCTAAAAAAAGAAAATAGATTTCAGAACGGAAAATATGGATTAAGTTAGGTGCTTCTTAAACTAGGGGACAAATTCATGGAGGCATTACAATACTAAATATGAATGCACCTAAAAAGAGAACTTCAAGATATATGAATTAAAAACTGATAGAAAGGAGAAAGACAAAGTTATAATCATAATAGAAAATTCCTCTGCCCTCTTCAGTAAGTGCTGTAACGACTGCACTGAACATCAGTGAGGATACAGAATACTTTTTCAACACAATCAACCAATTTGACCTCACTGACATTTACAGAATACACTCCATGACACCATAATATATATCTTTTACAAACACACATTCATCGAGTTAAACTGTATTTCTATGCTATAAAAGACATCTCCATAAATCTAAGAAAACTGAACTCATATAGAATAGGTTCTCTGATTGCAACAGACTAAAACTAGAAATCAGTAACAGAAGGCCCTCTGGAAAATACTCAAATATTTGGAAATCAAATGCACTTCTAAACAACTAATGGTTCAAAACATCACAAAGGAAATTAGAAATTATTTTCAACTGAATGAAAATTCAACATGTCAAAATTTGTTGGAGGTCACATAAAACAGTACTCACAAGGAAATGTATAGTGTTAAAACCCTCTACTAAGCTGATGTCGTGGCCCACACCTGTAATCTCAGTCCTCGGGAGATAAAGGCTAGAAATTTTCAAGTTTGAGGCAAGCCTGAGCTACACAGTGAGACCCTGTCTCAAACAAGAACAAAAACCCAACATAAAACATAAGAACCTTCTATAACAAAAAAGAAACCTTTTTTTTTCTTTTATTATTCATATGTGCATACAAGGCTTGGGTCATTTCTCCCCCCTGCCCCCACCCCCTCCCTTACCACCCACTCCGCCCCCTCCCTCTCCCCTCCAACCCCTCAATACCCAGCAGAAACTATTTTGCCCTTATTTCTAATTTTGTTGTAGAGAGAGTATAAGAAATAATAGGAAGGAACAAGGGTTTTTGCTGGTTGAGATAAGGATAGCTATACAGGGCATTGACTCACATTGATTTCCTGTGCATGTGTGTTACCTTCTATGTTAATTCTTTTTGATCTAGCCTTTTCTCTAGTTCCTGGTCCCCTTTTCCTATTGGCCTCAGTTGAAAAAAGAAACATCTTAAATCAATAGATGGTAATCTATTTAAACTAGGAAAAAAAGAACCAATTACACCCAAAGTAATGAAAAGCAAAGGAAACAAAAAAGACAATAGCAGAAATGAGGAAACAACAAAACTCACTGATGAACAGAAACAAAAGCTAGCTAGCATTGATCTGAAGAGATCAATGAAACTGATAAAAACCACTAGCCAATCCATCAGCAGTTAAAGTGAGACAGAGATTACTAATAAGAGGAAT